AAAATTAAAACAACACATCATAATTTTCTTCGTTGCTTATCACATCTCCTTCTCTCCTTTTCACTTTCTCAGTTCGTCCACTCTCCTCTCACTTCTCTTTCACTTTTGAAATCTCAAACAATAATCTCAACTCAACCTTATCTCTGTCCATATTCTGTTCAAAATCAAACTCAACCATTCCATCTATTTTCTGTTTGGATTTAAAGATTGAAGAACAAGGTGGATGTGAAATGTGTGGGTCGCGATTTGGGTGAAAGGGTTGAATGGGTTTGGATCGCGGACAGGTTGTTTGCTTGTCTTTGTTGTTAGATGATGATGATTAAAGCAAGTTTGAAGGTCTGGGTACTTCGATTGAAGTTGAGGGTTTTCTGTTGAAATGGGTTGAAGGGAGTTTGATAGCTTTGATGGATGAAGAAGATGAAGGGGAACGAGTGAAGTGAGGTTGAAGAAGTGGGTTTGGAGTTCATGATTTTGGGTAAGAAAAAAGAAAATAAGTTTCGATGGTTCAAAAATGGTGGTGAGATGAGATAGGTTCTGAGCGAGTTTTTGAAATGGGTTACGGATGGATGTTCCTGAAGGTGAATTTCCATGGTGTTTCTGAAAAATGGTTTTTGAGTTAAAGGTTAAACGAAGAAGACGGTTGGATTTGTGAGTGAAGGTGATGATATGAAAAGGTTTTCTGGGTTGGTTAATGAGAACGGGTTTAGGATGATTCGTTAGGTTTTGTTGTTTAACGTTAATGAAGTGATGACGATGAAGATGGTCTGTTTTTTTTTTTTTTTGAGCTTGAGAATCTGGGTTTGAGATGGTGATGAATGTTAATGGAATTTTTCAGATGAATGGTGATCGTGGAGTTGTAGTGATGAAGATTGATGTTTTCTGGACATTGAAGGATGAAGAAGAGTATGATGAACGAGGTAGGGGAGGAAGGAGGCGCAGATTCTCTTGGGATTAGGGTTAGGGATGATGAATAGTATATATACTATCCAATGGCTGACACGTGGCAAGCTTGATTCTGATTAATTGACTAAAGACTAATGATAATAAAATTCTAAACAATTAAAAACTATTTCTATCCTCTTTTAAAAAAAACAAAATTAAAAACCTATTTAAACTATTTTCTAAATAATTAAATATAAAGCAAAAATAGCAATAAAATGCAAAATGCCATGGAAAAAGAAACGGAATAACGGGCAAACACCGAAATGCGCCAATATTATCAACACGGATTGAATCATCAAGAGGAGAGAGACTCTTGCTCGATTTCGACACGGAACTTCTCATTTGAATTGATTTGAATCGCCTGAAACGCGATCAAAGCGACTAGAATCCTGATAAATTCAATCTGGCTGATAACACGAGCGAGATGCGACTTAAATGATATGCAGATGAATACGAAACAAAAGTCAGTCAAAGTTAGAAAACGGGTGGGAAAATTTTAGGGTGCAATACCTGTCGACCATGCAATTCCCCTTGTGGCGTCGACTCGGGGTGCATCCCTTCCAGATTTGTTGTCGTCGATCCTTGGCTGCCAATATTGTCAGGATGCTTCCTTCCATCCAAGGCCATTGTCAGTCTGATGCTTATATTTCCCACCTCCTGTCGAGGTCGATGCTTTCAGTTGGCTAATTTTCAGCCAACAGATATATAGATAAACTACTTCTTTTGTCTCAATTTACTATAAGTCATTTTACCTTCATTGTGCATCGATGAAATGAAGAATTAAAAATAAAGCATCCTACACAAAAGAGAAGGCCCTGAATAGATAAACAGTTTTTATTTAACAAAATATATACACAACCTGCTTTTCTGATCTTTTTAAATTCCCTAAGCAGCCTGCAATTTCAACAAATCCACCTATTTCAGCCTGCAATTCCCTAAGCAGACAACAATCAACATATTAAGAACAAAACCACTAATATTAACATGATACATTTTAAAATTAACATACAAGACTATGGTATAACATAAAACAGAAGCCATAATGCTCAAGTTCATGCTACTATTTCGGTAGCAGCAGTAGCATCTACTGTACTGCTATGGCTAAGAATGATATGGTTGTGGCTTCTGCAGCAACACTTATTGCTGCTCAGTGTGTTGAAGCTGCTGAAGCAATGGGAGCTGAAAGAGAACACCTTGCTTCTGTTGTTAGTTCTGCTGTCAATGTGAGATCTCATGATGATATTACTACTCTAACCGCTGCAGCTGCCACAGGTAGAGTTTTGTTCATTCAGCACCATTTCTTCATTTCAAGTTTAACTTCAAATGAATTACTTGAAATTGAACTTTGCAGCTCTAAGAGGGGCAACAACATTGAAATCAAGAGCATTGAAAGAGATGTGGAATATTAGCGTCGTGACGCCGCTAGAGAAAAGTATAGGAATTGAAATCTGTGGCGGTAAAGCGAATAATAACAGTAGCTCCAACACTAGTGATAGTGGTGGAGAGATTATCAATGCAGATAATTTTCTAAGTGCTTGCAGCCAAGAACTTCTTGCTCGAGGAACCGAATTACTCAAACGCACCCGCAAAGGTAGTAATTTTAATAAGTCTAGTTTCGAAACTTTTTCATTTTATAAACGATTAACACTCTATTTGGTTATATCTGTAGGTGATCCTCACTGGAAAATAGTTTATGTTTATATACATCAAACCGATGCAGGTGGCAGGAATTGAACCTGATATTGTCAATTATAACTGTTTGTCTCTCCTAAATTCGAAAGTGTATTCGATAATACCTTAGGTTAAAATATTGCAAAGCTTGAAAAAATTAGGGATTCACTTATAATTAGTCAACAATGGTAGGAACTAAATTATCTTCAAATTCAAATCCCTAATTTTACAATTTACAACACAAAGCAATAATCTGAGAAAAGAAAGATTACCAAGTACCAATGAAGAGAAGAGTGACGGCGGTGAGCTGATGAAGGGCTGAGTTTGACAGAGAATGGGTTTTCTTTGTTCTTTCTTTCCCGTGTTTCCTCTTTCTATTTGAGTGGTGAATCAAAGGTGAATCTGAATCGACTGTGTTTCCTCTTTCCGGTGGTGAATTGATGAATGAAGGCGAGCTGAAGGGGTGTGGTTGAAGGGTTTTCTGGTTCGGAGATATGGGTTGGTGATGGTGAAAAGAATGATGAAGGAGAAGCTTGAAGATGACAACGGTGGGGGATAGTTTGACGGCAAAAAAATGAGAGGAAAGGGTCGGCGACGAAAATGGATGAAGAAGATGGTGATGGCCAAGGGTGAAGGATCTTCTCTATTTTGTGAAGAAGAGGGTTCCGATGCGAGCGAAGGAGAGGAAAGGAGATGTTGGCGGCGGGAGCGAAGGGGAAAGAAGATTTTAGGATATTCTCCGTGAAAATGAACAGTCCCCTATCTTAGTGAAGTTTAATAGCGTTTTTAAAAAAAGCGATATTTTAGTGAATTTTAATAATAGCATTTTTTTTTACAAAGTGCTATCAAAATTACATTCTCTGTCCCCTATTTTAGTGAAGTTTAATAGCATTTTTAAAAAAAGCGCTATCTTAGTGAAGTTTAATAGCGTTTAAAAAAAAAAAGTTATCTTAGTGAAGTTTAATAATAGCATTTTTTTTACAAAGTGCTATCAAAATCACATTCTCTGTCCCCTATAATAGCCCCGACCATAAAGTGCTATTATAGATGTGTTTGTTTCTTTTTTAATAACACTTTCTTTAAAAACGCTATTAAATTAAGCGATACAAAATATCAATTTTGACGTAGTGAATATAACATTAATGACATTTTCTCCAATATATCATCTTTTATTTATTACTATTTTTTTAATTCTTTAAATTTTTCTTTTATCTATAATAAATAAAAAATAATATAATAAAATCATATATAATTGTTTCTTACCTTACAATATTGGTTATATTTCTTAATTTATTTAAAATATTCAAAATATTTTATAATTAGGAAGGTTATAATACAAGGAAACAGAAACTACATCTGCACGTCAAGGCAACCGTACCTTGTCTCTATAGCCCTTTACTTAAATGTTTCATCCTTCAAATCTTCAGCTGGCACAAACTCATGTGACTCTCATCACATGTACTATAAGTTTCAGTCAAATTCTCCCACGTGCAATGCTTAAATGTTCATCTTAATATTCATGTGATCTTCAGTGCCAATTTCTATTATTAAATCATACTTCCTCAGATTATGCTTTCCTCATGCTATTCTTTATCATTCTACTACCTTCTTTTACAAATTTCTAGATTTTTCAGTTGACTTTTTACTTTCATTATGTGCAAATCTCATATTCACTATACTTAACTCTAATAGGACACATTAAGTTTAGAGATTCTATTTAGATTAGTTATAGTTTAATTGATACAAAACAACTAAAAAAAGCTATTTAATCATGTTTAAACAATTAAACTCTGATAAATCTATTATAAAATTTTATTTAGCTATAACTTAATGGTAATAAATTTGAGATTTTATGCTATAGTCTATATTATATACACCCTAAAATACTATATTGAAATATAGAGTTTAATATTTACATTCAATAATAAACGGTAAAACCCTCTTTTAAAACAAGAACACAAATATTTTTAGGGTTAGATTTAAACGCATGACTAATTATTATTTTTTATGTATTTTTTTCTTGTGATTTTTTTTTAAATTGTCATGATGATTTGAAATTTGACATCAAGACTTTGATGTCTCAACAACCATTATTTTAGTTATATTTGTAACATATTTGACTGAAATTTGTATATATTATCCTTAAAAATGAGTAGAAAACATGCACAAAAGAAATGGTATAAATTAATACTATAAAAGTAGTAGAAAATATACTACTAAAATCATATGAATGTAGTGGGATTAATTTCTTTTCTTTTCCTACTCCACAACCTCTCAAAAGGACAAAAGAGAAGCAAAAGAAAAAAATGTCCAAAAAAGTGTTCAAGTTATACATAACTCTTCTAAGAAATTAAGCATAATTATTCCTAACAAGTACTCAAATAGACCTAAACAAAGTAAGGAATATTTTCACTAGAGATAGATCCATGACTCATTGTTGTTTTAGCTGGAGTGTAAACAGAAGAACCAGAAGACGAAGAGAACGACGAAAGGATAATCGATTGAGACGCCGACGCTTTTTGCGGTGGAGGAAGAGCAGGAGATGGAGGAGCTAAAGTTGGAAGAACAAGAGGTTGAGAAAGATCTTGTTGTGAGTTTGCATTTGTAGGCATTGATACTTGAGAAGAAATAAAGTTACTAGCAGCTTCTCTGTACTTGTACTTTAGAATCTCAGTTCTAACTGCATGTAGTTCTGATTGTAATGATTGAACTTGCTGTTGTAATGATGATATTGCACCCATGCATCCATATACAGGATCTCTTAACCTCAAATTTGCTTCATAAACCATACTGTTTGCTGCATCTGCTCTTTGTCCTTCAGGTACCTCCTAACAAATAAAATATTTATTACTTATGAGAATTATTTTTTTTATACGCAGACAAAGTGATAATAACCACGGATAACTCACACAGACAACAATAGTGAGTACTAGGGTTCGAGCCTCAGTAATGATCAAGTGTTCTTCTAATAAATAACGAGTTTGAGTTAAAGATAAATGATTCTGAAAGATTTAAGTTTTAAATTTGACTGAAGGATCGGATTATGAGACCCTTTAGTCAAGAAAAACACAATATTTGTGGTAAGTTATTACTTACTAGTCCTATTGAAGAAAATAAAAATGACTAATTTGAGATATAAGTTTAGGAACAATTACCAAAAGCAACTTTGAGACATTGCTAGCACCAAACACTTTATGAACAGCTGCAAATTTCTGAGGCTCATGCGGTGAAAAATAAGGAGAAAAAGGACATTCCTCAGCACACCTTCTTCTCAAAAGCTTACATGCAGCACAAGGGGTAACTGTGTTTAACGTTGCCCCAGAAGTTGGACCATAAAAATTCTTCCTTCCCATTTGAGAAGATGCTTCTCCCTCTGATGATAAGTTGGTCTTTGCTATATCATCTAATCTTTCTTTGGCAAAAACAAAAAACAAAACAATATGTTAAATAGTATTCTTAACCAAGTCCCTTGTCTCATAATCGTAATCGTTTCTTTCTTTACAGTATAGAAGAAACGATTATGAGACAACGAACTTAGCGAAAATCTTCTATATTTCATCTCATGAATATGAAATTGGTTTTTACCTGTCTCTTGACATCCAAACATGCTTGTGGATTGTCTTGATCTAAGATGTGGTTGAGAATCGATGAGAAATTATTTGATTTAGATGCAGATGAAGAGACACAAAAACAAGGTATGAAAGCAGTGTAAAAGAGCTTATAAGGTATGATTATAAGGAAAATTTGGTCATTGATGTATAGTCATTTTAGAGAGAGAAAGTTCTCTTTGTCAATGAGTTGCACACGTGTTAGTCTTTATGGAAAAATGACAATTGACTTTAGAAAACAAACAAGAGACATCATTGTCAGATTATTTATTCACTAGCTTAGTTTTTCTGAGTATTATTTGAGAAAAAATGCTATGGGCTACAAAGTGGTATATGCTTTGTATTAGTCTCAAATTTTCAAGTTGAGGATATATATATATATATATATATATATATATATATATATATATATATATATATATATATATATATATATATATATATATATATATATATATATATATATATATATATATATATATATATATATATATATATATATATATATATATATATATATATATATATATATATATATATATATATATATATATATATATATATATATATATATATATATATATATATATATATATATATATATATATGAGGGACCACTTAGATTTTGCAACTTTTAACACTCATTGACTAATTTCTTCTCCTTTAATGGAAACAGTTTATAATAGAGGGATTGATTAGAAATAAAGATAATTTCAATCGACATCTTTGTGTAGTATACACACATTTAAAATCCCCTTACCTATTTCTTTCAAAGTACCATGAACACAACCATCGTTAAATATCTTAGGAAAACTTTTGTTAAAGATTCATCTCGACGTGTGTCTAAAATTTTTGTTCTCTTACCATCTATTTAATGCTTTCATTGCTAACCTTTGTTCATGAGGTGAGTTACTCCGACAAGTTATCGTATTTTTCTGGTCAACTTAACACTAAATATTCAATCCTTTAATCCACTGTTTAATAGAATAAGTTGTTTTTCCTATGATGAGTTTTACTTTCTAGTGATTAAATGTTGGAAATAATATGGTCAAAAATAAATTAAAATATGAAAAAAAGATTTAGTTTTTTAAACAAATATAAGAATCTCTATTATGTTTTACAAAAGATAGAGAAGAAGGAAGAAGAATAATTATTGGTTAAAACTATTTTACTATTCACTTATTCAATAAGGGTTCAAAGATTAAAAATGAATACCAACAACTAATCTCTCTCAACAATCTGAGAAAACTAATTCATTTATAGACTATTAAGCTAACTTAAACTACAAGTTAACTTACACAGCTAGGTTTACAAGCAAGACCCAATTTGACATACTAACTTAAACACAAACCTAACATATTTCAACAGTATGCTTAAACAGACTCTGACTCCAACATGCACAACTCTTGTCGAACCATGAAACTATCCTTGTCGACACTAGGGTTTGATCTGAATACCACAGATCTCCACCTTAGAACAAACTCTACACTAATAAGGAAACATACTAGTTTTCATCATGCAGCTTTATCAACTGCATACACTGGAAAAACTTGTTACTCCACAATGTATTGGTGATCATATCAGCAGCGTTGTCATTAGTCGAAACCTTCAGCACTTGGACTTTTCCATGCTCGATTATCTCTCTGATAGAGTGCAGCCTCACATCGATGTGCTTGTTTCGCTCATGATAGGCTGAATTCTTCGACAGGTATATTGCACTTTGACTATCACATTTAACAGTGATAACTCGACCTTGAAGTTTCATCTCCTTAACAAAACCTTCAAGCCACAATGTTTCTTTCATATTAATTCTTGTGCTAATCATAGTGAACACATATTCAGAAATAGATTTTCTAGAATCCATACAACCTACATGATCAGAGTCGTCAAATCCTTCGATTTCGACTTCGCTATCACTATCACAGGCTCTACCATAAATCAAGGCTCTGCTCAGAGACTCATTGATGTACATAAGAATCCACTTAAATGCTTTCTAGTGTGCCTTTCCTGGATTAGCCATACACCAATTTACAAGACTCATTTTGTATGATATGTCTGACCTCATACAGACCATAACGTACATCAAAGAATCTACTGTACTAGCATATGAGATGTTATTCATATATGTTCTTTCTACTTCAGTACTAAGACTTTGAGTCGAATTCAACTTGTACTAAGGATTATTCAGTTTTAGAACAAGCTTTGAATTCGACTACCAAACTTGACGAGATTGTTCTTCAGATATGCCTCTTGAGATAAGCATAATCTCGGCTACTTCATATCTCTTCGGATGTCAATCACAAGAATTCAAAAGGTAGCTCTCAAATCCTTCATGTCAAACTCCTTATCGAGTTCATCCTTCAGCTTCGTAGCATCTTCGACATTATTTCTTGCTATGAGGATGTCATCCACAATGCTATGATGTTCTCTTACCATCTATTTAATGCTTTCATTGCTACCCTTTGTTCATGAGGTGAGTTACTCTAACAAGTTATCGTATTTCTCTGGTCAACTCAACACTAAATATTCAACACATTAATTTATAGTGTAATAGATTAAGTTGTTTTTTCTTACGAGTTTTACTTTTTAGTGATTAAATGTTATAAATAATATCATCAAGAATAAATTAAAATATGAGAAAAATATTTAGTTTTCTAAACAAACATAAGAATTTCTATTAAGTTTTATAAAAGATAGAGAAGAAGGAAGAAGAAGAATAATTATTGATTACAACTATTTTACTATTCACTTATTCAATAAGGGTTCAAAGATTAAAAATGAATACCAATCATTAATCTCTCTCAACAACCTGAGAGAACTTATTTATTTATAGACTACTAAGCTAACTTAAGCTACAAGTTAACTTACACAGTTGAACTTACAAGTAAGACCCAATTTAACATGTTAACTTAAACACAAATCTAACATATTTCAACAGTATGCTTGAATAGACTTCGACTCCAACATGCACAACTCTCGTCGAACCATGAAATTATCCTTGTTGACACTAGGGTTTGATCCGAATACCACAGATCTCCACCTTGAAACAAACTCTACACTAATAAGGGAACCGCCTAGTTGTCATCATGCAACTTTATCAACTGTATACAGTGGGAAAAACTGCTACTCAGTAATGTATTGGTGATCATATCAGCAATGTTGTCATTAGTCGAAACCTCCAGCACTTGGACTTTTCCATGCTCGATTATCTCTCTAACAAAGTGTAGGCTCACATCAATGTGCTTGGTTCGCTCATGATATGTTGAATTCTTTGACAGATGTAGTGCACTTTGACTATCACATTTAACAGTGATAAATCGACCTTGAAGTCTCATCTCCTTAGAAAAACCTTCAAGTCACAATGTCTCTTTCACACTAATTTATGTGCCAATCATAGTGAACATATATCTAGAAATAGATTTTCTAGAATCCATACAACCTGTATAATCAGAGTCATCAAATCCTTCGATTTCGACTTTACTATCACTATCACAGGAATCAAATGACCTATTCAATCAGAGTCGTCAAATTCTTAGGTACATTAATGAGTCTCTTGAGGAGATTGTTTCAGACCATATAAAGACCTATTCAGCTTGCACACATAATCTTCCTTTCCCTTTTCTACATACCTTTCAGGTTGCCTCATCAGAATTGTTTCATTTAGATCAACATAGGTTCAACCTTGTCTTGCCTAATATGAACATAGGCTAAACAACCAAATACTCTAAGTCTGTCGAGACTAGTTGGATGTCCCGACCAGACTTCTTCAGGTGTCTTCACTCGCAAGGCGGTTGAGGGACACCTATTTATCAAATATGTTGCAGTTACAACAACTTTTTCCCAAAAGACCTTCTTCAATCCTGCACTTACCAACATGCACCTCAACCTTTCTAGAATGGTCTGATTAAACCTTTCAGTCAAAACATTTGTTGGGGAGTCTCTGTAGTAGTTATGTGTCTTACAATACCATACAAAATAAAATATATGTTAAAAGCCTCATTGAAAAATTCAAGACCATTGTCGGTCTTCAACCTCTTGACCTTCCTGCTAGTTTGGTTTTCGACCAGAGTCTTCCAGCTTTTGAAATTTTCAAAATTTTCATCCTTAGTCTTTTAGATGAATATCCATAACTTTCTAGAGTAATCATCGACTATGGATAGAAAATAATTTTCACTTGAGTATGAAGGATTCCTTGCAGGTTCCCAAAGATCAGTATGAATATAATAAAGGGATCCATGTGTTTTTTGTTTACCTTTGTTAAACTTCCTTATACAGGATTTACCAAATACACAAGGATCACAAAGCTCCAGTTTTCCAACCTTATCACCACCCAAAAAATTTTGTTTCGACAATTCGACCAGGCCTATTTCACTAACATGACCAAGTCTCTTGTGCCATAGCTCAGTCTTCGACACACATTTTATGGATGCCACGTCTGCTGAACCACTTACAACCTTAGCCTTAAGGGTATACAAGTCTTGTTTCTTCATTCCTATCAAAACTTCCTTCGATCCTTTCATTACTCTTAGGATACTTTGTTATCCTTTGAAAACATATCCTTTCTTGTCAAGTTCACAAAGAGAAATCAAATTTCTTTTAAGATCAGGTACATACCTAACATCAGTCAATATGCGTATTGACTTATCATAGATATTGAATCTCACAGATCCAATACATGCAATTTTGCAAGCTTTGTTGTTTCTCCGCAGCACTGATCCACCATCTTGATCACACAATTCCTCAAACACCTCTTTGTTCTACAGGATTCTTATGGTGGTAATGCTCCTACTATTAAGTGTTATCATTGTAAGAAGGAGGGCCATACAAGAAAAGTATGCCCTGATCGAGTGAACAATCATTGTGGAAAAGATACTGGTAAGGCAATTATTATGCAAGATAGTTATGAATCATCTGATGTTCCGGTGGTTTTAAGCATTGACTCTATCAAGGAGAGGATTATAGATTCAGGGTGTACTTGGAATATCACCCTTCTTCTTCT